TTCCATTGTGATTTGCAACTGTAGGATCGTTCCCGCATTGAAAATGGGGTTGCAAGTGGTGCTGGTGGATGAGTTGCCGATGGAATTCCATTGTGATTTGCAACTCTAGGATCGTTCCCTCACTGTAAATGGGATTGCAAGTGGTGCTGGTGGAGGAGTTGCCGATGGAGTTTTGAAGGAAGTCTCGCACGAAATGCGTTTTTGAGAGATAGCAGATGCACGAAAGCCTATGTTTTTCCCGAGAGCGCCTGCGAAGGGTTCTTCGTAAAAATCTAGATCTTCACTCCTTCACATCTGCTGATCTAGATCTTCACTCCTTCACATCTGCTGATCTAGATCTTCACTCCTTCACATCTGCTGATCTAGATCTTCACTCCTTCACATCTGCTGATCTAGATCTTCACTCCTTCACATCTGCAGATCTAGATCTTCACACCCTCACATCTGCAGATCTAGATCTTCACACCCTCACACCTGCAGATCTAGATCTTCACACCCTCACACCTGCAGATCTAGATCTACATCTTCACACCCTCACATCTGCCGATCTACATCTTCACACCTTCACATCTGCAGATCTCCTCTCGCTCTTCTTCTATTCTCTCTTAAGGCGGGGGCGGTGCCGCCGGAGCGCCACGAAACGCAACCCTTTCGCACGAAATGGACGTTGGACATCCAAAACCTAGGTGAAATTGCGATTTTGAAGCGTCGCCGGCAACCCTTTCGCACGAAATGGACGTTGGACGCCAAAAACTGAGGAAAAGTTGCGACTTTGAAGCGTCGCGCGCAACCCTTTCGCACGAAATGGACGTTGGACGTCAAAAACTGAGGAAAAATTGCGAGTTTACTTAGTCCCGCGCAACCCTTACGCACGAAATGGACGTTGGACGTCAAAAACTGAGGAAAAATTGCGACTTTGAGTTGTCAATCGCAACCCTTACGCACGAAATGGACGTTGGACGTCAAAAACTGAGGAAAAATTGCGACTTTGAGTTGTCAATCGCAACCCTTACGCACGAAATGGACGTTGGACGTCAAAAACTGAGGAAAAATTGCGACTTTAGTTTGTCAATCGCAACCCTTACGCACGAAATGGACGTTGGACGTCAAAAACTGGGGAAAAATTGCGACTTTACTTTGTTATTCGCAACCCTTACGCACGAAATGGACGTTGGACGTTAAAAACTGAGGAAAAATTGCGATTTTACTGTGTGTAAAAGCTTCTGTGTGTAAAAGCGTCTGTGTGTAAAGGAGTCTGTGTGTAAAAGCTTCTGTGTGTAAAAGCGTCTGTGTGTAAAAGCGTCTGTGTGTAAAAGCGTCTGTGTGTAAAAGCGTCTGTGTGTAAAAGAGTCTGTGTGTAAAAGCGTCTGTGTGTAAAAGAGTCTGTGTGAAAAAGCGTCTGTGTGTAAAAGCTTCTGTGTGTAAAAGCTTCTGTGTGTAACAGCGTCTGTGTGTAAACGCGTCTGTGTGTAAAAGAGTCTGTGTGTAAAAGCGTCTGTGTGTAAAAGAGTCTGTGTGAAAAAGCGTCTGTGTGTAAAAGCTTCTGTGTGTAAAAGCTTCTGTGTGTAAAAGCTTCTGTGTGTAAAAGCGCCTGTGTGTAAAAGCTTCTGTGTGTAAAAGCCTCTGTGTGTAAAGGAGTCTGTGTGTAAAAGCTTCTGTGTGTAAAAGCGTCTGTGTGTAAAAGCGTCTGTGTGTAAAGGAGTCTGTGTGTAAAAGCGTCTGTGTGTAAAAGGGTCTGTGTGTAAAAGCGTCTGTGTGTAAAAGCGTCTGTGTGTAAAAGCGTCTGTGTGTAAAAGCGTCTGTGTGTAAAAGCGGCTGTGTGTAAAAGCGTCTGTGTGTAAAAGCGTCTGTGTGTAAAAGCGTCTGTGTGTAAAAGCGTCTGTGTGTAAAAGCGTCTGTGTGTAAAAGTGTCTGTGTGTAAAAGTGCCGTGTGTAAAAGCGGTTGTGTGTAAAAGCGTCTGTGTGTAAAAGGGTCTGTGTGTAAAAGCGTCTGTGTGTAAAAGCGTCTGTGTGTAAAAGCGTCTGTGTGTAAAAGCGTCTGTGTGTAAAAGCGTCTGTGTGTAAAAGCGTCTGTGTGTAAAAGCGCCTGTGTGTAAAAGCTTCCGTGTGTAAAAGCCTCTGTGTGTAAAAGCTTCTGTGTGTAAAAGCCTCTGTGTGTGAAAGTGTTGTGTGTAAAAGCGTCTGTGTGTAAAAGCGTCTGTGTGTAAAAGCGTCTGTGTGTAAAAGTGTCTGCGTGTCAAAGCGGCTGTGTGTGAAAGTGTCTGTATGTAAAAGCGACTGTGTGTAAAAGCGTCTGTGTGTAAAAGTGTTTGTGTGTAAAAGTGTTTGTGTGTAAAAGCGTCTGTGTCTAAAAGCTTCTGTGTGTAAAAGCGTCTGTGTGTAAAAGCTTCTGTGTGTAAAAGCCTCTGTGTGTGAAAGCGGCTGTGTGTGAAAGCGTCTGTGTGTAAAAGCGTCTGTGTGTAAAAGCGCCTGTGTGTAAAAGTCTCTGTGTGCAAAAGCATCTGTGTGTAAAAGCGTCTGTGTGTAAAAGAGTCTGTATGTAAAAGGGTCTGTGTGTAAAGCGTCTGTGTGTAAAAGGGTCTGTGTGTAAAGCGTCTGTGTGTAAAAGTGTTTGTGTGTAAAAGCTTCTGCGTGTAAAAGCTTCTGAGTGTAAAAGCCTCTGTGTGTAAAAGCGTCTGTGTGTAAAAGCGTCTGAATGTAAAAGCGTCTAAAAGCGTCTGTGTGCAAAAGCGTCTGTGTGTAAAAGCGTTTGTGTGTAAAAGTGTTTGTGTGTAAAAGCTTCTGCGTGTAAAAGCATCTGTGTGTAAAAGCGTCTGTGTGTAAAAGCGTCTGTGTGTAAAAGCGTCTGTGTGTAAAAGCGTCTGTGTGTAAAAGCGTCTGTGTGTAAAAGTCTCTGTGTGTAAAAGCTTCTGTGTGTAAAAGCGTCTGTGTGTAAAAGTCTCTGTGTGTAAAAGCGTTTGTGTGTAAAAGCGTTTGTGTGTAAAAGCGTCTGTGTGTAAAAGCGTCTGTGTGTAAAATCGTCTGTATGTAAAAGGGTCTCTGTGTAAAAGCGTCTGTGTGTAAAAGCGTTTGTGTGTAAAAGTCTCTGTCTGTAGAAGCGTCTGTGTGTAAAAGCTCCTGTGTGTAAGAGTGTTTGTGTGTAAAAGTGTTTGTGTGTAAAAGTGTTTGTGTGGAAAAGGGTTTGTATGTAAAAGCGTCTGTGTGTAAAAGCTTCTGTGTGTAAAAGTCTCTGTGTGTAAAAGTGTTTGTGTGTAAAAGTGTTTGTGTGTAAAAGCGTCTGTGTGTACAAGCGTCTGTGTGTAAAAGCGTCTGTGTGTAAAAGCGTCTGTGTGTAAAAGTCTCTGTGTGTAAAAGCGTCTGTGTGTAAAAGCGTCTGTGTGTAAAAATATTTGTGTGTAAAAGTGTTGGTGTGTAAAAGTGTCTGTGTGTAAAAGCGTCTGTGTGTAAACGTGTTTGTGTGTAAAAGTCTCTGTGTGTATTTGCGTCTGTGTGTAAAAGCGTCTGTGTGTAAAAGCTCTGTGTGTAAAAGCGTCCGTGTGTAAAAGCCTCTGTGTGTATAATAAAAGCGTCTGTCTGTAAACAGTTCTGTGTGTAAAAGCGTCTGTCTGCAACTTTACGAAAGATACGATGCAAACTATTGTCTTGTACTTGTAATATATTGTTTTGAAACTACTCTTCTCGTCTGCCTATAATACATCTTCAATATATTGTCTTGTAATTTAGTGTCTCCATACTAGCAACAGAAGACTTTGCTCGTCTACGCTCTCGGGCCATCCGTCGTCTAGTAAGGGTTTTTAAGGGTTTAGGAGTTTGAAGGCCTGGCAAACGGCAGGCTTGAACGCCCTAACAACAGAGGGCTATGTGCAGGCAAACGGCAGGCTGCAACGACAGAGGGCTATGCAGGCAGACGGCAGTCTGCAGCGCCAGAACAGCAAAGGCTTACAGAAGGGCTTGGTGGAAGCTGCCGCGAGGGATTCGGAGCATTTTAAGGGTTTTAAGCGTTTGAAGGCTGGCAAACGGCAGGCTTGAACGCCCTGACAACAGAGGACATTTTAAGGGTTTTAAGGGCTTTAAGCGTTTGAAGGCTGGCAAACGGCAGGCTTGAACGCCCCAACAACAGAGGGGCATGTGCAGGCAAACAGCAGGCTGCAGGCTATGCAGGCAAACGGCAGGCTGCAACGCTGGAACAGCAAAGGCTTACAGCAGGGCTTGGTGGAAGGAGCATTTTAGGGGTTTTAAGGGTTTTAAGGGTTTGAAGGCTGGCAAAGGGCAGGCTTGGACATGTTTGTACTCTATGTCTTCAGAGTCATCACACCCTCCAATTACTGTAGGCTTTGTATTCTTGCCAGGGTTTCGGTACGAAATGACGGGTAATTTCTATTGCTCCGCGCGTTTCACAACGCCGTTGTTAAATCATCCAGAGGGCCGGACAAATTAGGTCTCAGATTTTCTCGGATTTTCTCGGATTCTTGCATGGCACTTGCCAGTGATATTGAGATAGAGGGATTTCTTAGATGCATTTGTTGGTCCAACGATGCCCAAGTCTCTGCTGTGCCATGTTCGGCCCAGCTCTGTGGGAAATTGTGACTGGTTGTGTTTGCAATGCGTGCAGAGAATCCCCAAGTCCTGGCCATGATTTTGTTTGCCGCACAATTCAGAACCATTCTAATTCCCAGGTCCCAAAGGGATAGGGGGAAGCGAATGTGTCTATTTACTTCCAGTGAACCTGCTGGAAAACTGTGTCACTGGAATATCTTTCCTCAAGGGAAGGTACTTCTTGCAGTCTGACTGCCGTCTCCAATCGTTGGAAGCTTGTGGTGAATGGTATGTCAAGCATTTCCCATATCCCAAGATGCCCCAAGTCACCACTGAAGAGCTGTGGTGTCTGGTGGGAAGATTAGTTTGGAGTGAGCAAAAAGGCATTGGGCAGGCGCCTGTTTGCTGCGTCATGCAACGAGACAAATCCTTCGTGACTTGTTGATGCTGTCAACTCGTAACACAGGACATCGTGGAGTCCTGGGCTGAAGCGCTGAAGGAGTACTTTGATCTATTGCTTGTAATCATTTGCCAATCTCCAGAAATCAATGCTTCCAGAAGGAGAGCTATCCAGTTTTTGTTCCAAACTCTCCGTGAAAATTCCGTGAAATGAACTTGTATGAACTTGTTAATTATTGCTTCATTATTGATTTGTTATTGGTTTGTTGATGTTTGTTGACATTTGGCGAACATTGGTGATGATCTCCGCAGAGGACGGCCTGCTGCGTCACAGAAGCCAAGCTGCTCTGGGACCCCCACAGACGACTGCAAAGAGCGTGCTGCTCGCGTGGATGGAGTGGTTACTGAAGCTGCAAACATGGCTCGTCAAGCAATGATATCAAAATATATATATATATATTGTCAAGGAGAGCAGCAGTTGAACATCTGCTTACATATGCTTGTATCAATCTTATATCACAATGTGAACCAAGAGCAACGCCTATAACAGTCTATAACATCTGTAATCCACCCAGTGGTATCCCTTACAACACAGTTCAGGTCTCATCGTTGAAAACTACATCTGGTCAGCTAAGGTTCCAATTTCCTATCAAGTCCTTCACAGCGCTGACGATTCCTGATGTCAGTATGGAAGATGCTGAGCATCTTTACCCCTGGGCATTCGCAACGCGGACTCAAACGCCCTGATGTTGGCTATTTTAGCGTTGGCTGATCAACTGCCTGTACCAAACCTGGACCTGTTGATTGTGTGTCTATTTTATTGTATTTTCACAAGAGGCCGGTACGTTGGACAAGCACTTTTCAATATTCAGTTGGTCTGCTCGGATTCTGAATGGAGAGGTGGCAAGACCCCAAGACCCGGCTGAGTTTTGTTAGGTCATGAGCATGGCGTGGCTGGCGCTCTTTGCCTATCTTGTCGTGGCGGCCTGCAATGGAATTCATAAGGCCAGCGGATTTTAGATTTTAGTGGCACTTCCGCACCGATGTCGTTTCGTACAGTCTTGTCACAAACAGTGGAGAGGCATGCAACTTCAAATTGACAGCCCCATGACAGCCCCATTTGGTGTCATTCAGTGCTAGAATCGTGGACTGCCAGCAATTCACATCAGGACTTCCGGATTTCCACATCTGTCTTGGGCTACACTGTGGCAGCAGCAGGGACTTCGTTTCCCAACGTTTTCAGCGGGATGTGTGTTGCGAGGCACACCACTTGACTTCGTCGCGCGCTAGATTGTGCCAGCGGGATAATCTTTGAACTCATGCATCCAGTCAAAAAGTACAATCTAGATCAATCTAGTCTTATTCAGAAAGCTGCGAGGATTTCGATATTTGTCACCTGAGTCCTGAAAGCCTCGATGGGTGCCATGCTTAGTCCCATCAGTCCCATCTAATCTCTTTGAAGCTGGCGGTAGGCAAGGGAAGACCACTATGGCTGTGGCAAATGCCCTGGGAGCCAACGCGTGGAACCCAGTGCAGATTATTTCTCCTGCGTTTCTGGATCCCGAGACCCTCTTGGCAAATAACAACCGAAGGGTTGATGGATGTTGATGGATTTGATGCTCTCGACCCAACGGCCCCCACTTTCTTCCCGTCTGAACTAGACTCTTGAACTAGACAGCAACGTGGGCGATTCTAGAACTCAATCATCACTCATCTCTGTCATTCTTTTTGTTGAGTGTGAGATGTGAGACAGCAACAACAGACGGTGAGCGATGCTGAGCTTCATCTCATTTCGTGATCGGTAACCTTTCTGTTTCTTCTTATTTCTTACATTTTCTTACTATTTCTTCTTCTCATGATGTGTCAGTGCCAGGTGCAAAATGTTTTCCTTGCGTTGGCCATTCCTTGGGCCATCCAATGCACCATCAACAGGCTCTGCCACTTAGTCCATGCTGAACTTTCCAAAGTAGAGTCAAAACAAGGAGCAAAGGTGCCAGACATGATTAGACATGACACGTTCATAAATGTTGTGAGATGTTGCGAGTCATGGTGAGTCTCGGTTCCAAGTCAATTCCAGCTGGACTAATTACGATGGTAAAACGTGACTTTGTTCGAAGGTCGCTGTCACGTGCTGTCAGGGGAAGCTTCGAGCTGCCATTCACGGGCTTGTTGAGCGCCGTTGTGGAGATCTATGCCTGGACCCCAAAAGATTCGATCATGGCTCGGCCCATTTGCAGGTACCAAACGACACCAAACATGTCCAGAGGATAGGATACTGATGCGCTCGCGCCTTGTTAATCATTGACTTTCAATGACTTTCACAACCATTTCAGAAAACTCATGAGTTCAGCCAAGTCCCAAGGTCACGCTTCTTCCAGCGGTTGTGGTCTTCACACTATCCAACCATCAGTTCCCGAGATGGTCGGGATATATGTTCCTGGTGATCCTTGACGGCAGCCATTGCTGAAAATCCTTGAGCAGTCTTGGAGTGTGTCAAACTGCATCATATGCCAGAGGCAAACGTTCACCATATTCAGGGCATTTTGATTATGTCTTCACTGAATACATTTTGCATGCATATATATATATATATATCATATTTATAATATCGACGCTGTACAGACACAGACGTATTCTGCCCACAATCACAGGCGCTACAGTAGTGTTGCTTCACTTAGTTCCCCCCGAACAATCCAAAACATACAATATACCAGTGTTTCAGCTCGTGAGTGCCGCCTTTGCTTTTCTCACAGCTTAGGATTTATGCTTGCTACTTGGCCGTGGCACTAACTCAAGACACCTTGCATTGCCCATCTTGGCCCTTTTTCTGTTCAGTGGCCCTGGCATGTTTGATGCGGGGCTGGAAACCTGGAATCATTTTGCGGTCAATAGGCACCACAGGTTGGTGTGGTATCGCAGATCTTGGAAGGCCACTCAGACAGATATGACAGTGGGGACTTCCTGATCTGATGCCAACAGCGGCAGTTTTAGGTACAGATCACGAGGGTCAGGAGTTACATTTGAAACCCTGTCAACTACCTGAGCCGGACAAACCATGTCCAGTGCTCGACATGGCCAATGCAACCAAAAGGGGCGAAGCTGCGCTTGCTCTTAGACGGCTGAAGTCTTGGGCTTGCAATGGAGATGTGACAGTGCGATTGTCTCTTACTCCCGTGACTGCTATGATATGACATAACACGAGCTTACATGAGCTTACATGAGATTATATATCGGATATATTGGGACATTTTGAAAAGAAAACAATTTTGGTTCGGCTGGGCAGCGCGAAGCCCAAAGTTGTTTTCCCCTTGTGTACGTCTTGAAACTAATTACAGTATGAGCATTTTATATGTTGCAGAAGATTCTAGACGGGGACATGATACAGGGAATGCACGGTCTCTTGGGGGAAGGTTGCCTCTTCACGGAAATCTAACTTAGCCGATCTATCTTGATCTTGGTTTTGTTGCCGCGGAAAGGGTCCTGGGTCGTCTCAAACTACTCCAAATTGTTCCAAAGTGTTGGAAACACAAAGTCTTTTCACGGTGGATTCTTCAATGATTCTTCATCTTGTCTGCTTCTTCCTCTGATCTTATAGTCGTCCATAGTCGTCCATAGTCGTCCTGATTTTTTGACCGTAACCGTTGTGGTGCAATACTTTGGCTGATTCCAGTGCTTCCGATGTCTTGGAGCTGCGGTGGCATGCCTAGAGAGTTTGGGTTGGAAAAGGCTGATGAAAGATTCTGGAAGTTGCAGAAGAGATAGAAAAGACAACCTTTTGAAGATGCTGTAATTTTATGTAATTTTTAAATTTTGATGAGATGATTGTGCGCATCTCATAGAATACCATGTAACTAGACAAAATGCACCACAACAACCACACATGCATCTCTCCTGACAGAGAATGTAGACGGAGAACCTTCAGATGATTTGAGGACTCAGTTTCCTTTGGGCCCTGCTGTTTGACACTTTCCTATACTTTCCTGACAGCTAAAGAGTTGCCTTAGGAGTTGCCTTAGGGCCTTAGGATTTGGAATCAAAGCACGTTTTCTCTTCGTTTCTGTCGGAGTCCATCTGGTCCGCCGAGGTCATGGTGACTGAAGAAGCACCAGGAGGATCCGCTCGCCTGAAACATTCGAAACATTCGAAACATTCGCAATCCTCGAAAGATCTTGAAAGATCTTGAAAGGAGACCAAAGTCGGCGCCGATATGCGGTGGGTGTTGCTCGGACAAATGCGTTTTCTTGTTTTTCGAAGAATCTTGGGTGACGATGAGATGTACAATTATAGATGTATTACATGAGATGCTCATTTCCACACCAAGCTGTACTTGTCGTGATTTGAGGGATTTTGAGGGAGATGGTGTACACATCTCGCACCCTCAAAGAATCGGAAAGATCTGAGGTGAGTTTCATCAGTTTTCTTGGTTTGCTGCTTGCGTATCTTGCCGTCTTCTTCAGGCCATGTCACGAAACGGGTTAAACAGGTTGGACGCGTCAGTCTTTTTTGGTTTCAAAGAACTCTTCACTCATTGGACAACTCCACTGGTCTTCAAGATTTCATTGCTCATATTGAATCATATTGCTCACTGGAGAATATTTGTGACTGATTGACTGATTGCATGCAATTCTACGAGCCAGCAGGTTGTTGCTAAAACGCACATCGATTAAGCAGCTACTTGTTCGGTATTTCAGCAACATTTCAGCGGCTTCAAAGCAAGCGTTGAGATACAGTGTCTTCTCACACAAAGGTGCCAATCTTGCTGGAAAGCAAATTGACCAGCGCAAGAGACCGTAGCATGCCTGGAGATGGGTAGATAATTTATCGCGAGCATAATTCTCGCATCCATGGTTCCTATTTGGACCAATCGCGCCCATGCAGTCCTGGGTGCTTGAAGTGTGCTTATCGATAGAAGCCACGCCACATGGCCACATGGTATAAACATCAAATTATTTATGGCTTATCGATAAACCTCGAGACATGAGATGTTCATCAACCTCAGCATTGTAGTAGCACCTCACAAACACCTGATATGCCGGGCAGGTCAGAGCCAGAACCTGTGCGGCGCCCCAGAATGATGATCAATGTCTTGGAGGAAATCTCCTCTGTTTCTTGAAACGATTAAGAACTGTATCTAGACTAAGAGTGCTTGTACATGATGCTGTTGTCGCTGTAGTCTTGGGCAACATCCCCATCATCACTGCACATGTTTTTCCTCTGAGGAGTACACCTATGCCTCCTTCAAGCGACATGAGGAGGGACCCCTACCAGAGGCACCTGGGCTCTAAACAACTCTGGAATGGACCTGCGACAACTCGAAGCTACTGGTATGATGCTGGTATGCACTGTGACAACGCTATGAAACATCCTTGCCCCTGCCTGAACTTAGTCTTAGGCTTGGCAAACATACTGGTACTGCCGAGGTATACACTTTATCAACATCCTGCACCTTTATGCTTCCTAGATCTTCCTAGTACTTCAAAGATTCTTCTGCTTTTTGGCAAGCACCGCTGTAATTAGACAAGACTCCTATTCAGACTAGCTTGAGTAGCTTGGGTAACGAAACACATGAAACACATTCGATCGCATCTCCCAGAGTCAAAGTCCCGGAGTTTGGCCAATCTCCAGAGGTGCCCAAGGAGATCTGGGACGAAGCCCGTTCACAGCTCCGTGTGCGCCTTCGAGAGATAGAGGATGATGGGAAAGAGATTGGTTCAAAACCATCAAAACCTCCAAGGATTTCTATGATTTCTGGGTGATTGGGACCAAACAACTACTATTTCTTGGCATTTCTAGGCATTTCCAGGCATTTCTGGGTCAATGGGAAATATTGGGACTGGAACACGAGGAGCATCGAGAACGAGCTGCGGAGCGCAGACGGTTAGAGAAGGAAGAGAAGGAGAACGAGGAGGAGAAGGAGGCAGTCATCTGTAACCTGTTAATAAATGGCTAACAGAAATCCGATAGAATCCAACAGATGTTGGGGGATATATAATGATATAGCTCTGTTCAATTGAATCACTGCAAGAGAGCACATAGCACGGTGGCTGCTAAAAAAAGAGAAATCTCCCTTGACTGAGAAAGCCCTTGAAGATTCTTCCGCAGTGTTGGTCCCACGGCGGCAGAATGCACCCGTTGGGCAGATGGAACGGCGACTGTGGGCTGAAGCAGTGGAAGAAGTTGAGGCAGAACCACGAGCGTGCAACTCAGTTGAGTGCCAGTCTCCTATTCAAACACATGGCTTTCCTGATGTTTACATTTCAAAGTTCCGGATTTGACAAAGGCTCAAAATTGGTTTTGTCAAAAAATGCTACTTCATTTCTGCGCAGTCAGACAGCATGCTGCAAGCCACAGCTCATGGATTCGTAGTTCTCTAGGACCTTCCCGGAGGTTTGCCACAGAATATCACAGAATGGCGTTGCAGTGTTGATTTTCAGGCTTAACTTGGGGACAAGACCAGAAGACCTGTTAAGACCTGAAGCAATAACTGCCATCCTGCAAGGAACTCTTCAATCTCTTCAAACTGTTGAATAGCAATGCAGCCCTTGCCTTAAAACCAGGGAAAGCGGGACGCAAGTCATGGCTGTCTTTGCATTGCAAGACTACTTTGGGACCTTGAGCACTCCAACTGCAAGTTTGTTTTTGGAAGGGTCTACTGCAACAAGGGGGCACCGTATGTTTAGCCTTCTTACTAACAGAACGACATAGCTTCGAATACGGATATACAGCTGAATTTCCAAGTAGGATGATGAAATACACACTGCACAGACTGTAGTCTGCATCTACAAGGCGTAGGTAGATGTCCACTTCCTGTATTCCTGCATTGTTTTCAGGGTACCGAAAGTGAGGCGAGGGGACCTGAGCAGGGTATTGTGGTCAATGATGGTCAATGCAAACTCTCGAGTGGAGACAATCCCAAAGTAGGACAGCCTTAGGACAGCTTTTCAGATTTTTCAGTATTTTTCAGTCAATGTCATTAGGGATTCAACATGGAATCAGTGCAGCCCAGTGCAGCCAGCTCTTGGGGGCAATTGTCAAGCCGAAGTAGTTTGAAGCTAGGCTTTCTAGCTTTCTACGAAGACATAGATAGACTCTTAGACACATGCCAAACTATATCAAAACTTGCTCCAGGAACAACAGATGGCCGAACAAGAAGCACATGCATTGCAGGCTGGAAATCTTGCGTGGGACAAGGTGTACAAATTTGTACAAGTGTTTGTCATCCTGATAGTATAGAAAGGAAATCCATGCTATACACACCACACAAAGGAAGGACTGATGCTGGCGACATTGCGATTTTTGGACAATTTTGGACAATGGCCAAAGTAATGAGTCTTTCTTCAGTGGAACGACTCATAGCTATGGATTTCTATGGTATGCTGGTATTCCTTTGCCTCTATCCCGCCAGGAACATCATGAGACTCACAAGAATGAAGACGGCAAGCCCGATCCGGACTCTTTGCTGGGCAAGCTCATGAAGGCACGCAGTTTTGATCAGTTTCGTCTAGAGAAGCTGAGCCCTTTGTCCTGGTTGGTGCACGTTGCCAGAACAACGTGGACAAAGGGGCTGGAAAGGCACGCCTTGGGCTGGTGGCTAGGGCCATGACTTTTCCTAGGCCTGCCATTGAGGGAAGAAACATGAAGAAACATGAAGAAACATGAAGAAACATGAAGAAACATGAAGAAACCATATGCGCTTCATGATGGCGGTCCCAATGTCACAGACTGTCACGGACTGTCACAGACTGTCCAGATTCAGTTGCCAAGTAGAGAAGAAGTGTAGAGAAATGGAGTCTCCCCCAGGTGAGGACGCATAGGACGCTATCTTTAAACAAACACACTTTTTTCGAGCTCTGAGATGTGTGCAGTAGGAGTCGCTATCTTCCTGATTTTTTAGTTTAAACATGTTTAGAACAACTTTTGTGTCGGACATTTTCAAACACTAAAGCTGCTTCAAGCCATTGGCGTTCCCAAGGGTGTTCCCACTGGTCGACTGTGCCAAGGTGAATCCGAACCAAGACCGTCCTGATGAGCAGTTCGACGAAGACACCGAGGTCTGTGCAGGTTCCACAAGCTTCTCAAAGGAATCCCTAGGAAAAAAATGGGAAAATGCATGCACAAAGATGTACAAAGCTTCTTTGTTGTATTACTGTATGTTGTTGTGCTTGAGTTACTACATATATCTACATATTCTCTCATGGATTTCTTGACCCATAACTTCTATGATTTATATAAATCCAGAAATCCAGATACCAAATCTTGATGAATCCAGAATCTTTAAATTTATCAAACATGATCAAACCTTCCGTTGGATTCGAGGCCAAAAAAGTGGCCATGTCAGAGCTTCTCAAAAAGGCGACCATTGCTGTGCGGAGTCACTGGAGTTGGTGCTGCACGCTGTTGGGAGTCTGAAAGATGTTGCTTTGCAAACGGAAAAAATGCCAGGGTGGACATGGCAATGGCGAGGCGAAGCTGCCCGAGACGCTTTCAAGATCTTTCAAGAATCCAGACCTTATCATTCTTATCTCATGCACGGAGCTTTTTGTGTCAAGAATCTTTTGATGTATTGTTATCTATTGATATGCATTGACAATAGATATTTACAGCTTGGCAGTAGTGTGTGATAGAGTGTGTGTGTGTGTGTTTCAATTCTCTTTGGTATGTCTTATGTCTTTTTCCTTGCACCTTTCTGTTCTTGGTGTAGGACCTCAAGCAGCAATTCGAGGACCAAAACATGCCTGGTGTTCAGCTTGATGAGAAAAACCCTATCGGATTTCCTTCTTGTGCAGGATATTTGGTTGACACGTGTGACAGATTTTTCGTTAAACATGGATAAACCAGATGGGCATTGATGCGTTGTTGCTTTATGTTTGCAAGTCAATTCATTGGATGAGCTGCAACGCTGGTGCTGATGGTCTCAAGGAGCTGCAAGCACAAGCAAAAAAGAAGGCGAATCAAGCCAAAAAGGTGCCGATTCGTCGCATGCTCTGGTGCTGCTTTTGTGGCACCAGAGACTATGACGGTAAGACTCTGGTCTTGTTTCCAAAGGGGTGAAGAGACCTTGATCTGTATTATCACAGCTTTGGCATCATCCTTTATTATCTTGTTTTCCTGCTGTTTGTGAATCTGAATGCCTGGTCCTATGCAATGATATCATTGGCGTCAAATCAATCGGCATCTTCCTTCAGTAACTTTGTGTTTGGCAATGAAAGTTTGGGAAGGAGAGGGTAGTGAGAGTCAACGTTTGTTTTCCCTGTGTTCCCAGTATTCTGCTTCTTTCATCTTCTTTCAGTTGCAATTCTTACTCCCGTGTCTCTTGCAGTTTGTCTGAATCCTTACGCTTTGGGATGATTTGGCTTTTTAATGGACATTTTGAACTGCGTTTGAAACTGGGTTTGTTGCCAATTGCGTGCTCACAAACCAGATTCCTTGAGTGCAGAAGGCCGCAGCGAAGCCAATATTTATCGGTGTTTCTGATACCATCATTGATGTGGAATGCCCCGTATCACTTCGTATCGGTCGCGGCTGAGATTCCAGCGACCGAGAAAAGGCACTCTACCTACAATGAAATCAAGATCAGAGAGAGTGGAAAAGGATTATAGAAAGCAAACCACAGAACAAGGGGGAAGAAAACCAAAATCATCCAAAATCTGTCTTTGCAAAGATAAAGTCGTGATACACACAAGGGAACACCCAAAATAGGAAAGCATTGGATACCACAGATGCGCGAATTATGTTAAAGACAAACGCATTGAAACAGGTTACCATCGGTTACCCTTCTTACTCCAACTCTAACTGGGTTGTTTGTTTTCACCTCACTGGTTGGGCAAGCTTTACCAGCACGAATGCAAACATTGAAGGAACGAAAGAATTCATGACCTGCTTGCAAACCATTGTAATGTTTCCAACAAACATGGGCATGGGAGATGGCATGGGGAAGGTCGACTGTCATCGTATCTGCGTCCTCAGCTGCTTCATGTCCTCCAATGGGTAGACTGATCAGTTGGACAGAAGAGGAAAATTGAAAGCTGAGGAATGTTTGCGTCATAGTTCATGATTCATACTGTCTTAGCAAGGCTTGTGAAGAAAAACATATAAAAACATGTTAAGCATTTGTACGGGTCACGCAGCAACAGCAACCGATGGCCCGCTCATAAAGCACAAATTAACAGGGATAGGCAGCACAAAAGATTCCCCGCAAATCCTTAGGAACACATTAACAGCAAGGAACGCAGCTCAACATCAAATCAGAATATGCAACATGCAAACATGCATTCCAAAGAACCACCTGTTATGGCATTTAGTTATACCATTTTTCGCCCATGGCAGGTGTTTGAAGAGAAGCTGGCCGCAGAGAAGAAGAAATTAGCTGAGAAGCAGAAGGCAGTTCCATGATTGCTCAGTATGATCTCAGTATATATGCTTTATGAGGTTTATATGCGGTTTGGTCGGGGTCAGTGCATCTTTCATCAGTGGATGAACAAGTGCCTTCCAGGCAGCGAAGGAACGCTTGGAGCATGAGCTGAAGTCAAAGACGCTTGGACTGAAGGATTTCTTGATGTTCTTGGCTACGGTGGACTGAAGTTCAGGAAGACTCTGACTCATGTATCTCATGTCCCGCTAACAAGTCTTCAAAAAACATTCACTTGATGTTTTCGTGAGACTGTTACGCATTTGGGTCCCTGCTCATTGGTTGGGTTCTTTACAACAGAAAGAGCTTGGTGCTTCGCCTCGGAATGGGCTTCCTTTTTGCTCAGCAACTGAGGCAACTTAAGGACCAGATTCTGATCATGAAGGCAGCCCTTTTTAGTGGTGCTGGTGTTGGTGCTGTGGTTTGGCGAGATGCCTCACGCCGTAGACGCCGTATCCAGTTGATGCCCATTGTACATTGATTATCATTGATTCATTTCAACAACTTGGCAAGGTGTGGTCAACTAGGATTGGATGGCTGACTGGCGATAAGATTCAAACAGAACCACCATTGAACAGGCAGCAACAGCCAAAAGTTTTCTCAACCACTCTTGATCTGTACTCGTTTCAAGCAATTGCATCAATTGCTAAAGAAAGCGGCGACACTCTCTGTTCTTCCAAAGTATCAGGAACAGCAAGAGGAGGCGCGTGTCCAGGAAGATTCCATCCAGATGGGGTAGCTCAGCTGAAAACTTTGCGAGTTGCGATTGAATGTGTTTTCAAAATAATGGGACCAAGCGTGCAAGGGAGATTCAAGGACCCAAGGCCCCAAGGCCTTGCGCCAGGGAGGCACACCGAGATACCCGGTACACCGAGGATCAGTTTGTACTGCTGGGCCTTGATGATGCCCTTTGGTTACGAGGCAGGCCTTCTCCTAGAGCAAAAGAGACAAGGCGCCTGCCGCGGCTGCTGGGCCGATGCAGAGAAGTGATTGGAGAGATTTTGGGAGATTTCTTGATCTTTTTGTTGCAAAAAAAAGTTCCAAAGATGTTCAAGCAATCATAGCAACGTCAAAGATTTGATAGGCAGGATGTGAATTGAAAAGCAAGAGAACCATGCAGTGGATGAGCCTGCAAAAGATTCATGTTGAGAGTTTTCTCAGCAGGTGTTGGCATCTTTGAATGCGACGAGCTGGGAGCTCAGCACGGAACATGACCACGGGCCATGAGCGGCACAAGGGGCGTGGATTTAAACGCGGTGCTTTTCCCAAGGCATATTGACTTCGCACACTTTAATTAATGTGATTGACTTGTTGATCTTGTTTCCCTCTTGTCTCCCTCTTGTAAAGCAGTGAGTGGTTTGCGGGCGTGCAAGAATCTTCATCGGGAGATGCACAGTCGGGTGGAATTTATGTATGACCACAGCATTCTCAACTCTGAACCTCATTTTGTACCGACTACAGTCTGTACTTGAACCTTCCTGCAGGGCAAGCAAGGGGCGAATAGCTTCAGAGAAATATCAGAGAAATATCTGTAAAGCTGTCACAAAAACACAATGCGATGAGTCTAATACAGTCATCTAGTCATGGAAAGAACCGGATTGTTACTACACAAGCTGTCACAAAACCCCCCTGAACCCCTTGTTACTACACATCGCTGGCCAAAACATTGTGACAGCTTTTGCGATAAACAAGGGGTTCTGTAAAACTGTCGCTAAACCCTATCACAAATCACCACAAATCTAGTCATGGACTGGAGCTGGAGATTCTATGCTCCTGGGCAAGCAAGGTGGGCTGTCTACAGCAACCAATCCATGATGGCAGATGGAAGTCCTTTTCCGTTCCCTGTGCATGAGGCGAGCCGATGTCGATCCGTCAGATGATTTTGGATTTGGTTTGATGATTGATGTTCTACCAACAAATCTGAAGCAGAGACTAGTCATGTTGACAGCGCAGCCTGAAAAAAAAAACTGAAAAAGCAGTGGAACAGCCGAGTGCGTCTGCGTCAGGTCACAGGCCCCAATGGGGAACCGATCTCCCTCTTTGTGCCACTGGGTGGGCGATGGCACACTGCCTTGAACCGTCCCTCGGTGTGAAAGAGACAGGTCCAGGTCCCTACACGAGTCATCACAGAGCAACCGGTAGGAAGGTCATGGATATGGAAGGATATGGAAGGATATGGAAGGTCATTAAGCAGAACTTTTTCATTGAAGTTAGAGAGGACATCGAGGACCACAGTGAGGCGACACGACACGAAAAGTTGCATCTTGCACCGCAGGAGATGTGTTCAACCAGGTGTGGTTGAAGGTGCACCTCTTCATAGATACCAGCTCAGCTGCAGATGAGTCATGGCAGAAAGTTATTGGTAGAACCAGTTCGAAGAGACAGTCAGAAAGCAGAATTGGAAATGCGTTGTAATTTGAAGATGCAGTAAGAGCAGTAGTTTTCAATACAGCATTGCTTGGACACGACACTCCATCTTTTTGATCTTTTTGGATTTGAATGGGCAGGAAAGATTGTTTTCTGGAAGTAGAAATGAGCAGAATATAAATGAAAGATAATGAAAGTGGAGATCTTTCTGACATCGACACTGTTCATCAAGTGTGTCCCCGGAATCTGTCGATATCTAGTCTTCCCGGCGAATCTCATGGACAGGTGGTTGAAGTGGATCACTACAGAAAACACGACTGGGCCGGAACCTGACCTTCTCATGCTGTGGTGCTGGGATTCCATGGGATTCCTGTTGATTGAGCTGATCCAAGAATGATAAGAATGTCGCTGACATCCCTGACCGAGATTGTCAAAGTCGATCCTGACTCGGTATTCTTCCCAAGTTGGGCTCTGAGCAAACTTTGCGAAGGATCTTTGCCTTGATGAATTTTCTTGTGGCAAGGTTCCCTTAGGTTCCCTTCCAGCTGTTGGACTTCCATCCTCATTGACCAACAATCGGTGCTGTTGACCAACAATCCATTACTCTAAGTAGCAAATCCAATAGTTGTACTGCGCTGTGATGACACCAAGTAAGCGGTTGTAGCTCTGGTATTGTGGAAGTTCGCGTCGCTCTAATCTGTTGCCCAGAACGTCTGAAGCAAGTCATTGGAAGACGCGTGCCGTTTCTTGGCTGAAGTGACTCAATTCAGGCTTTTGAGATTTCATGTAGATGTTCCTGGTTTGTTCACAGCTGATCTGGTGATGATGATTGAGTTGCCTTACACCAAAGTTGAGTGATTGATGCTATGACTGACACCAATAAAGTCACACCATGGATTTTGATCAAAGCGGAACTGGGTTTCCGCATGTATTTCCGCTCAGGTTAAAGAACGTCAAAATGCAAGGTCCAGAACCAGATGAGGCGCAGGGAAACCACATCAATGGCAGTGTTTTGGGTGGGTCATGTCATGCTGTCATGATACTCCGTGTCCAATTGTGACCAAAATACATCAAAGTACTACCTCTCGGCACTAAGATACTAAAGGGTTCACGTAGATTTGAATGAGATGTTGTCCAGATGGGTCTCGAGATGGTACGTCTTCAAAGGCAAGAATGACTTGACAGAGGCAGTAGATTCAGTAGATGATTCAGACAATCACAGATACATAATACATTATAATACATACTGTATCATACAGTCATACCATGTCATACCCATATAAAATGGCAGTGGAATGAGGGAGGGTTGAAGCATGTTGTAGCCCGAGCCTGCTCCGTGTTCAGTTGGACTGCACATATTGCAAGTGTGGAGCCCCAAACTCTGCATTTCAGCATCAATTGTTCTGAGTCGAGGGGTCCTTCAGTTTGAAAAAGGGCACTCGCTCGTTCCCAAAGTCAAGTGCCAGATCTACTGATCAATAGACCTGACTCTTCAGCTTCATTTTTAATTTTTAATGATAGGTTCAAGGTGCCACTAGTGGTTCTAACACGTCGTAGCCTGGTGTGTCTGTTTTCCTTCACACCGTTGATGCAAAAGTCCAGCCGCCTCAAGGAAGAAAGGCTTCACCAAACAGAGCTGCGCGTCTCATGTGCACTGGCTACAATCCCAAGGCTGACTTCTCTGACTTTTGAACTTGGGATTCTGATGGCTTTTGAATGTGTCGGACACATTTGACATGAAGATTTGGCATGCTTTGGTTCCACACATGTTGATGCTCATTGTGATGCTTGGCCAGGGCATACCTGCAGGGACGCACTGACGTCGGTTGCGAGGCACAGTTGCAACGCGTCAACATGTCTGCTGGAGCAACTCATGTCCTGTGAATTTTGTGGTTGCACGTGAGGTTGCTTTGTGTCATTCGACTTGTAGTTCAGTGTTTCAGTTACCATTTGGGTGACTGAGTTCTGCTTTACCTATTCAGAAATTCAGGTTGATGCCCAAAAAGACTCTGTGGGCCACATAGAGTTTTCAGACGATTCTTAAAATATCTTAAAATACTTCCCTGATCTTCTGCGTATGTCCACTACATCAACGGACAAAATCGTTCTCTTGGTCTTGGAGCCGCTGTTCCAACCCATTGCAGGGACCCTCCAGTGGATTGCGGTTGTGCAAATCTAAGATCTATCAGATTCTATCAGTGTCCATGCCAAGAGAGTTGGAAGAGGTCCCATGTCATCTCATGTCATCTCCGCACTCTGAGGCAAGTGCAACGATTTCGCTTGTGATTTGCCAGCAGATCAGGTGAACCGCCAGTGCTGTCGGACTGCGGAAGAAAGCCGAAACCATGGCCTGTTGTTGTGACCACATGTGACCACAATTCCCGCAGCTTCATTGTAGTCCAAATATGTCCAAATTCAAATGGCACACGTCGGCACTTGACTGAGAATGGGTAGATTATATATATATATATATGATCCATATCAATATATTGTATTATATGATTTTTGCTACATATTACGTGTCCTTGAATTTGCTCGTTGATGTCAGTGAAAACCAACATCTGCTAAATGGCAAGGTTTGTCGTTGCTGAATTGCGTTTGTGAAAGGGTCCACCAACAAGTTTGCCTACTTTCCAAATTCAAGCCAGTGGACAAGAAGCAGAAATACATACCATGCTGCTCCATGCGGCGAATGTTATAAAGAGGTATAAAGGGAACACATGCTGCTGGATTTGCCACCATAGTTCCTGCCCTCATGGCGGCTGCAGCATGTGCAGCATGGCTCTTGGTTGCCGGCCTATTGGCCTCGGCAATGTCCATAGCGGTGCTGGACTGTGGCCCAGTGCGGGTCCATCAGTGTTGTGGCGCATTGAGATAATCTCACTTCAGATCACTTCAGGAGAGGTTGAAGGAACCAAATCCCTGTGGAAAAACATGAAAAAACTCTGTACCTGACTGTACCAAATTAATCCAAATTATATCTCTACCGATATCCACCTCATGATTAACGATTCAGCTTGCATGTGCTGAGCGTGTTCGCTTCAGTCGTAGAGTCGGCTGTGCAGCAGAGGCTCCAGCTTGGACCGATGAGCAACTACCAGTTGCTAGTCGCAAGGAGCAACTTTAGCCGTCTTTGAGATGTCTTATGCTCTGGTTTTCTCAACTTTAACCTTCAAACCAGCCAACGCTTGAACTCTTTTAGCAAGGTATGTACTGGACAATGGCAAAGTTGCCGTTACCGTGGATGCAGCTTGGGATATTCCCAAGATTCGCCGATACGTGGAGAAGAAAGAGTTGAGGCCGGCACTCTCAGCACTCCCACTCCACCATGCCAGCTTTGAACTCTTTTGCTATCTTTTGCTCCTTTATGAATCACTTGTTTGTCTTGTAAGGTTCAAGAAAATGACGATTCGAATGATTCGCACTTCTTTGCATCTCATTAGTCCGTGCTGCAGCTTTCTCCTCCAGGGGGGTGAACAGATGATATCCGTTGCATTGCAGGTTGGTCGCAGGTCTATACACCCATGGCCATTTTGACCATGTTGGAGGCAAGTTCCCAGGAGCTCGGGTGCTTTATTTTCCAATCTTTGTGAGGACTGTGACAAAGTTACAAACATGTCTAAAGGCCGAACAAAAGACAAACCTCTAAGGACAGACATTGACATGTCAGAGATATTTGTGTCAAAATATACAACTAAGGTGTCAGGTCAGCTTTATAGACTCTATAGTTTCCATGCAACTTGCCATGTTCGCAGCTGCCGTCGAACTTTTCCTTGAAGGATCAAGTGAGGGACCTGTACAGGGTGCGCTTGAGCTTCAGGAGTCAAGTCCTGGGGGACACAAGATGCACGAATACCACACTAGCAGCTGAATATCAGCTGCATATGAGGGGCTTTTATTTGGTGAAGTGAGGAGTAGTCTTGGGGCGTACCCTGGTTTGTCGAAAATACTATTATTTTGGTTGCAAAACGAGGTAGGACAATTTCGAGAACGAGGTACTCCGAGGTAGGGATTGCCTGCAAAGCATCTTATAGCTATCAAAAACAAGTGCGGCGTTGGAGAACGAGGTCAGGCCCCCCAAAACGGTATTGGAATGGAGAACGAGATAGGAACACTACGTGATGTACCAAATACTTTCCGTGGCTCATCTAGCTTCATGCTGAGTCTTTATAAATCACATCATTGATATTTGCCAATTTGCAAACATCACTTGAAGACTTGACTCGGAGGAGACGAGTTGACAGAACCACGTTGGCGATTCTGCCACATTTGGGTTGATGTCAGTATAGGATGTTTTGATATATGATGCTTAGTACCTACTTGTACGGGTTCTTTTGAGACTTCCCAAGATGCCAACGCTTTCATTCGTTTGAGAAACGACAGCCCTTGCCACGTCCGCCGCATCCAGGATTTGCCCCTGTACCTGGGAGTCAGAGATATTGAGGCAGCAGAGCTTCAGACACAGGTGGCGGCATCGAAATGGCATCCTCTGAAGGAAGGAATCCCGGATGCTGGCTGAAACAGCCTTGATTGGTCAGCTGAAACATGCTGAAACTTTCATTAGCAGAAAGCACTGACAATAGCTGTTTGATGCTGTTTGACTTTGCTGACCGATCCGAGTTCGACATCTTCGACCGCCCGAAATGTTTCTGACACAGTGCAGGAGACAAAGTTCAGCTCCTTGGTGACGATGTTCAGATTTGGGTGCCGCTTGGCTGCACTGTCGAGATCTGTCCATATGACTCTTTTCAGACTTTCGAGACTTCTCAAGCTTCGCAGCTACGTTTTGTGCTGAGCCAAGGATAGACACTCCTGGTCATACCTTAGGCTAGGGCTGAACAAACATCTTAGTGTATTCTATTGTCATGCAAACGTAGACATTGCGTTGATTTTGTTCAGTCATATTGCACCGAAGGCGGCGTGACATTTTGGGTTGAGGGAAATTTCCATGAAGCTTGTGGTGAAGGCCTAGTGGCGCAAAACTGAACGGTGCAGAGTCTGTAGAATCATGTAGAATCATTAGAATCTTCAATTTCTTGTTGGCTGTATAAGTTTCTTGCTATTGATTTACCATTGATTTACCCTTGTCATGTCCAATTCTTTGTCGCTCTTGTTGACAGGCTTGATGTTCACGGGTGACACTCTATTCCTAAAGAACGTAGGACGTACCGACTTACCAGGAGCCTTGGCTTTACCAAGAATGTTTGGACCCTTAGATATTGCTGAAGAGATTGATTCTGCACAATTCTGTCAACGGATCCACAATTGAACTCGGAGAAATCCTAGACAATCTGCCTGAGTTAGCAGTGTCCCACGCCCAACTCATGTCTTCAACTTTGTGATTTGAATATGTGTCAAAGCTGCTTTCACCTGATTTTACATCTTATATAATTCAAATTCAGGTTTGAGAAGCCATCAACGATGAAGCCTTAAGGCCTTATTGATTGTTAGCCTAATCGATCGTTTCTGGGGACAGCAGATCTGGTGCTGAGTGCTGAGGTGGTGATCCCTCTTCCTTGCAACGCAGCCTTGCTCGATTGAGTGGCGCTGTGGATGGGGCGCAAATTCTGCCGGGGCATAGCTACATGGCGCAAGTGCTGCAATACTGTATATATGCTGTATGCTGCAATTGCAAATGCCAGGGATACACTTTCAGTTAGTGATGCCGTGATGCCCAAGAACGTGCTAAGTTCCATGATAGATCAGCGTGGCAAATGGCTTTCCTGTGCCAAGGCTACGATTCACCTCCCAAGCGGGCAGATTTAGCCACAGTGCGACGGACAAATTCAGCCATGAAAGCTGCCATGGCCAGGTGGGGTCTTGGATAATTTGCCAGGAGAGCGCCAAAAACGTCACATGATTTCCTCGAGGCTTTTGTTAGGCCCAAAAGATCCTAAAAGGATCTAAAAGGATCTAAAAGGCTTAAAAGTTGAACATCACATTGCCATAGCAGTCATTGCAGTCTGATGTCCCCAGGTTTCCATCGCCGCCACCATTGCCTTGGTCGCGCTCCAAAGTGGAGTTGTAAGCGCCAGAAAACGTGCTTCCGAGAAATGGAGGGCATGTGGAGGGCATGAAAGGATGCATGTTTTTATAATCAATTATAATCAAATATAATCAAGAATTGAATCTGGTTGAATGATGTTGAATGATGTTGAATGTTCATTGCTTCTTGCTTTCACCTCATATTTGGATGAGAAGTTGCCACAACCTTTCCTTTGAACCTTTGCCATCGGAGCTTTTAGTCAGCCAGTTCATTCAAGGTTGCAAGTCCAAGTAGTGAACCATGAGCAACTGCGGACTAAAGAAGGGCTGAGGTGGGTGCTTCCTGTGTTTGCAGAACCGATGTGTGCAGCTATCTCTACCCACAGAATCCCACAGATCACCTTGTCGGCTCATGATCAGTTGATTGGCTAGTGCTGGATGATATTCGAATATATTAGACTACCCGCACATCGACCTGAACCCACATGACATGAGCGGCCGCTTGGCATTTTTGTGCCAACCCCTGATCTTGAAAAAGTGAGGTAAAGTATGGCAAAGTTTAAAGTAGGTAGAAATTGAAGACGTAGAGAAGATAAACAGTGAGTGCAGCGTTGGAAAACGAGGTCCTTGATCGAAACACATAAGGAATGAACATGAGATAACATGAGGTACTGTATGGATCTGTATGGGACATCGCCTTTTGCAGTAACACTGTAGTCACTTCCGTGACATTCCGTGACTACTTCGATGGATTCTCCTGAAGCCCACGGATGTGAGCGCTGTATCATTGTGCCAGGCCTGGGGTGATCGGGGTGATCTGCCCAGCATCGAAGCTGTCCACTGTGCGCAGCATTGAAAAGCCGGCAGGCAATGGCTGCACCAACGCAAGAGAAAGCAACTGGTATGGTCGTGCGCAAGAGGAACTCAAAAAGACTCCTGGTCTGAAATTTAACTTACGATTCATGATAATTGAATTGTTTAAAATGAAGCATTTGCTTTCATTCTAATTTTCAGCAAGTCTTGCGTCCAACCCATGAATATATTGAACTTCAATCAACGGCCCATGGGGAGGTGGCACAGGTGGCACAGGTCCTCAAGTTGTTCTGGCAAGGAGTGGCCTCTTCAAGGAAGTGATCCTTGAGAATATGCCAGACCCGCACGTTGCGAGTGAGAGTGTCTGGCTTCCGTTTCTGCGCAAGTTCTTCGGTGGCACAAAAAGCACGAGATTCTACGAAAAGACTTCGAGAGATTTCTCTTTTGGCGTTTGACTGCCAACCCAAAACACTTGAAATCGGTCGCATGAAAAGCATGATTTGTTATACGGTAACGACATTTAAATATGTGGAGGGCGGGCCAGACCGTGAGGCCCCGGAGGTAGTATGAAATACCAGTTCGTATATTTAAATGTAGTTACTGTATGCTTAAATGAATTGGATTCCGTATGTTTAAATGGCCGGGCGGGCCAAGGAAAACCTTCCCGGAGGTAGTCTAAAATACCTGTTCGTATATTTAAAAGTCCGTATATTTAAATGTAGTTACTGTACATTTGTCAAGCCATTTGACTAATTTGACAATTTGGATCATATTTTTAAAAGAACCTTTGGCCAATGCATGTTGAGTCTCAGGCTGTTTCTTAGCTGATTTTGCCTAAGTTTGTCGTTTTGTATGTCTCTACATCTCCTTGATGTTGCTGAGGCTTGGGGCCGATGAGAATACAGTCCTCATAGGACCAGAACTGTTCGCATCGATAGGACGT